CAAGCGGCCCGCCAGTTGCACCAGGCTTGAAGGACCTCAAGGAGGGCATGCGGGGCACGATCAACATGAAGCGCAAGAAGGAGCTTCACGGCCTGGCCGTGGAGATCAAGCGCAAGCGGACGAATGACATCGTCGTGGGCTTCGTGAACGAGCCGACGAGGGACCTGAAGCCGCTGCAGCCGCACAACTTCCAGCCCGACGAGGCGCCGCCGTCGGCGACGGGCGAGGCGCCCCCCGGAAGCAGCTCAGGGCCCGCGGCCCCCAGCGGCCAGGCGGCGGCTGCGGCAGAGGCGGACGGCGGCGCTGTCGCGCCCACCGGCCCCAGCTCGGGGTCCGCGGCCCCCAGCGGCAAGGAGCCGACCGGGCACCCAATGCTAGGCGAGTCAATTCTGCAGTTATGCCTCTTGTGCCAATTGTGGCAGTTCTGCCCGTTGTGGCAGTTGTGCCTCTTGTGCCTCTTGTGCCAGAGCGGCGACAGTTGCGCAAGTTGTGCCAGTGGAGCGAATCAGTTTCGCAAGTTGTGCCAGCGCCGTGCCGGTTGTGCCAGTTGTGCCAGATGTGCCAGTTGTGGCAGTTGTGCCCGTTATGGCAGTTATGCCTCTTGTGCCAGAGAGGCGGCAGTTTCGCAGTTGTCGAAAGGGGCGCCCTCGCGGCGAAGGCCTCGTTCGAGGCCGCGGCGGCCACCCCGGGGGGGCGCCTCGGGGGGCGCCTCGGGATACTTACCCAAGTCTCGCCAGTTGCGCGGGAGTTGTGCCAGTTGTAGCAGTTGTGCCAGTTATGCAAGTTGTGCAATTTGTGCCAGTTGTGGTTGTCGTGCCTCCTGTGCAAGAGTTGTGCCAGTTGTGCCAGTTGTGCCAGTTGTGGCAGTTGTGCCAGTTGTGCCAGTTGTACCGCCGAGGAGCAGGCGGGGCCCGCCGAGGCCACGACGGCGCCCAAGCAGGGCGACCAGAAGCAGGCGGACGAGAAGGAGGCGGCGAACTTGGAGGCGCTCCTGGCGGACTAGCCGACTAGCCACGTCGCGAGCGTGGCGGCCCTGGGGAGAGCAGGGATGAGGAGGAGGAGGGGGATGACGACGACGACGACGACGACGACGACGACGACGAAGACGACGATGACGACGACGACGATGACGACGACAACGACGATGACGTCGGCGACGCCGGCGGCGACGACGACGACGACCACCCCGACGCCCGCGACGGCTCCCGCGACCCCGAAGACGACGACGACGACGACGACGACGACGACGACGACGACGACGGGGACGAGGACGACGACGACGACGACGACGACGACGACGACGACGACGACGACGACGACCCCGAGGAGGCGAGACACGGTGAGGAAGGCAAGCTGACGGGGAGGTCGTCGCGGATCGTGCGGCGAGTCCGGAGCGATCCAGATTTTTCGCCCACGACGGTGGCGTCGTGGCCGCTGTGGCGTCGTCGTCGGCAATGTCGTCGTGGTCGTCCGCCGCGTCGTCCGCGCCATGGCCGCTCGTCCTCGTCCTCGTCCTCGTCCCCGTCGTCGTCCTCGTCCTTGTCGTCGTCGTCGTCGTCGTCGTCGTCGTCGTCGTCGTCGGCGTCGGCGTCGGCGTCGGCGTCGGCGTCGGCGTCGGCGTCGGCGTCGGCGTCGGCGTCGGCGGCATTGGGAAGGACAGTGGGAACCCAGGCCCGCCGTGCCAAACCTGGCGGGCCGGCGAGAGCGAGCGGCACCGCTCGCGATTTCGGGCGCGCGCGCCCGCATGCAGGGAGGGGGGGTGGCAATCAGAGGTCGGTGGGGGGAGAGAAAGGGGAGGAGGAGGGCGACGACGGGGAAAATATCGAGAATACGGGAGGCCGAGGGGGACAGGAAGGGCGGGGAGGGGAATGGAGGGTAGGGGCCACAACCTCTCGCAAAACCGGTGCCGAGCGACTTCAGGCTGTCTGTGTGAGCCTCGGCGGTGAAAAGGCGCCGCGGCCGCAGCGGCCGCCTCCGGCGCCGCTGCCGCCGTCGCCGTCCTTTTCCTCGTTCTCGTCATCGCTTCCGTACCCACCCTAGTCATTGTCATAGTCGTCGTTGCCATCGCCTCCGTCCCTGTTCTCATCGCAGGTGGGCCCGCGGCCAGAGAGGCGGACGCAAGCTTTCGCCAGTGTGCCCGCCCCATCGCCCCTCCTCGCCGCGGCGCCCCCGTCGTCGCCAATCGTCGGCGCGGTCTGCAGAAGCAGGGGGCCCCTTTCTTGCCGATCCCTCTCACCCCGCCTCCCTCGTCCTTCTCCTCTTGCTCACTTCGTCGTCGTCGTCGTCGTCGCGGCGGTTGCCCCCCGCCCCGCATTCCTCGGCCTTTGTTTTTACTTGTCCCCCCCGCCTCTTTGTTTCAGAGACTTCCCCACTCCCCGCCCCTCCCCGTTTTGGCTCGATGCGCGGTTCGCGGCTTGCGGGCGCTCTGTGACTGTAGCCGAGGCGCGCCGTGGAGCAGCGCCGTCGTGGTAGCGGAGCGGAGCGGCTCTATCTGGGGCTATTTGGTTTTATTTCGTTCTATTTGGGGCTATTTGGCCAGAGCTGTTGTTGAAAAAAACTGCCGCGCAGAGTACATCTAATTTAGCACGCCATGCGCTCAGGGCTAGTTGAACGCGCGTGCGGATCGCCTCTGCCGCGTTGTGATGTAGAAATTTGTCTTTCCGCTTTGAGTTGCGGTCGATGTTGCCGCCGCTTTTGATCCGTGAGGCTTTAGGACCCCGATTCGAAGAGTAATTGTTGTTTGGTTGCAATTCCCACATTATTAGTGCGGCCATGGAGTTCCAGGCTGTTTGGTCGAGGCGCCGTTAGGGGGCGGTGGGATGGTGCTACCGCGCGAGATGGCCGCCGCCACAAGCCAATCCACTGCCAGGTCGTCATCATTCGTGCCCGCCCTCTTCCCTCCTTCCCCCTTCCTTCCCCGGATCCTCCTCCTCCCCCTCCTACTCCTCCTCCTTCTCTTCCCCCTCCTCATCCTCCTCTTCCTTCTCCCCCTTCGCCCCCTTCTCCTCCTCCTCCTCCTCCTCCTCCTCTCCTCCTCCTCCTCCGTTCCCCCTCCTCCTCCTCCTCCTCTCCTCCTCCTCCTCCTCCTCCTCCTCCTCCTCCTCCTCCTGCCCCCTCTCCCCTCCTCCTCCCCCCACGCTTCTGCTGCTTCCCCGCCCGTTCGTGCCGCGCGCCTTCGTTTTTGCGCCGCTCCCCTGCTGCTCCGCTCGCTCCATTATCCGTGCTCCCCTCGCCCTTCCCCCCCATCTCTTCCGCGTTCCTCGAGGGCCATTCCGTGCTTCTCGTTGGCCCAGCGTCTCGCGGTGGCCCAGCGTTCCGCGTTTTTGTCGGTGATCGGTCCGCCTTTCTTCCACGAAACTATTTCCGCGCGCTGGTCGGTGGCCCAGCGTATGCAACATTTGTTATGCCAGTGGCGAGGCTGGACACGAGGCGTCGAGCATCAGCAGCATCCGAGCCGCGGCGGCGCGAACTGTGCACCAATGCAGCTGGAAGAGGAGGAGGGCGGCCGCGGAGGAGGGCAAGAGGGGGGAGCCGCGCCCAGAGCGTGCAGGACTCCACGCGTGGTGCTGCGCCCACGACAGCACCTGAACTCAGGGCATCCCTGCGGGTCCAGACGATACACCCCTCCCCCCCGCATGCCCGCGCTCTGCTGCTTGCCTCTCCCGCAGTCGGAAGCCCCACGGCTGCCTCGCAGCACCGGGCCTGCCGCGACAGGCTGCGCGCGCGGCTGCGCGCGTCGCGCCCCCCCCCCCCGCCGCTGCCGAGAGCAGCCGCCGCCGAGGAGCCGCGCGGCGACCTCGGAGCTCGGCCGGGCGACCGCCGAGCCGCAGCCGCAGAGCCGGCCTCCCTGCCCGCCCGGGCTTGGGGCGAGCAGGCGCCGTGGCGGCGCGGCGCTGCTCGAGGTGCCCGAGGGGGTGCGAGGCGCTGCCGCTGGGCAGGTGCCCCCGGCGGGCGGGAGCGTGCCAAGCGGCGAACGGACCCGGGCCTCCGTGCCCGTCCCGCTGTCCATCCGGCGGCAGAAGAGAGGGGATCAGGGACACACACACACACACACACATAAGCGGACACAAATCCCAGGATTCCCATGTTTTCTCCCTATGATAAGGATGTTCGTCTTCCCCTCCACTTCCCATCTCTTCCAGTGCTGTCCTGTGGATCGACGTTTGATTGTGTTCTGTGTCTGTTCCCCCCTGAGAGGGCGGCTGCGGCTCGACGGCGGCTGATCTGGACCCTGGGCAGGCACGGGCCCGTCAGCAGCTTCTTCTCCTGGCGCCCCCCCCCCCCCCCCCGCGCGCACGACGTAGGAGAGGAGGAGGAGGAAGGAGGAGGAGGAGGAGTAGGAGGAGGAGGAGGAGGAGGAGGAGGAGGAGGAGGAGGAGGAGGGGAGGAGGCGGAGAGGAGGAGGAGGAGGGAGGAGGAGGAGGAGGAGGAGGAGGAGGAGGAGGAGGAGGCAGGAGGAGGAGGTGGAGCAGGAGGAGGAGGGAGGAGGAGGAGGAGGAGGAGGAGGAGGAGGAGGAGGAGGAGGAGGAGGAGGAAGAGGAGGAGGAGGCAGGAGGAGGAGGTGGAGCAGAAGGAGGAGGGAGGAGGAGCAGGAGGACTCACAGACTGCACGGGGCGTCGCCTGCGCCCAGAGATCTCGGACGACGTGACCTTGTCAGTCCAGGCGGTCCTTCCTCGCTCTCGGCCTCCGGTGCCCGCGGCTCGGGCCCCTGGGCCACGTCCCGACCATTTTCTTCGGGGTGGAGGGCAAAGGGTGAAGTCGATTGATTTTCGAGGCCTGGATTTTCGATTGATTTTCGATTCTCGGGTGGAGGCTTGATTGATAGATTTCCGATTGATTTTTCTTGGAGGCCTGGATCTTCGATTGATTTTCGATGCTTGGATCGCAAAAGGTGAATCACAAGACGGACTGATTTTCGAGGTGCAAAAGCCCATATGGATTTCACCCTGCGCCCACCACCCCGCGAAAATGCTCAGACCTCGAAGACAAGGCTCCGGGCGAAACGCAGCCTTCACGGAAGGGGTCGGGAGCAGGGCACCAAGACTTTTTATCTCTCTCTCTCTCTCTCTCTCTTTATATATATATATACACATACAGTGGAGACCCTTGCGAAGAAACACCCTGCTTGCCTGCAGGGTGCCCTGGGTTTCTGGGGTTTCGATGGTTTTGCTGTGGCAAGCGCGACGTTCCCAGACCAAAAATCCATGGACGTCAAGGGGTCTCAGGGTTGGGTTTCTTGTGGAAGGTTTCTCGTGGACTGGTTCCTACATCAGCGCGGGCCCTCGGACACCCCCCCCTCCCCCCCTCGCCCGTGGAGTAGGTCTTGGCTGTTTTGTGGCGCATGCTTCGAGCGAGCGGAGTCCCCGCCAGAGGCAGCACTCTTGCAGACAGTCGCACTGAGCAGAGGTCCAGAGCCAGACCCCCTCCTCCACCCCCTTCCTCCCGATGTCGAAACGCCGAATAAGAAACCGCTCACCCTGGGCCATCAAAAATAAGGATCCGGGCGAAACGCAGCCTTCGCAGAAGGGGTCGTGAGTAGGGCAACGAGGCTTACAGTGGAGGCCCATGCCATGAAACACCCTGCTTGCCTCCAGGGTGCCCTGGGTTTCTTGGGTTTCGATGGTTTTGCCGTGGAAAGCGCGACGTTCCCGCGCCAAAAATCAATGGCCGTCCTGGGGTCTCAGGGTTGGGTTTCTTGTGGAAGGTTTCTCGTGGACCCGCCCCCTCCCCCCCCGCCCGTAGAGTAGGTCTTGGCTATTTTGTTGGCGCCCGTCCCGAGCGGGTGGAGTCTCCCCCAGAGGCAGCACTCCTGCAAGCAATCGCACTACAGTGCCGTTTTTTAAACTGCCCTGTAGGCAGAGGTCCGGAGCCAGACCCCCCCCGCCCGCCCTTCCCCCCTTCCACCCGATGTCGAAACGCCGAAGCAGAGAACGCTCACCAGCGAGACTTATACTTTTTCAACCTACTTTAGCCTTGATCACCAGACATAGTTTCGAGCACCA